TCATTTGATATGTTTTTAAATTATTCTAAATTTCAGATGTCATGCAGCACTATGCAAAAAGCCATCAGATCCTTATAGAATAGCTCAAACATTAGAACATTACCTTCGAGCTGCTCTTCAGGTAATGCCAATTATACCTTTCGATTACTTTATAATTAAAACATGTCATCTATCACTCTTACTGAACTCAGTTGACATCAAAATTATTGTGATCTTTAGTTCAATAATTGTTTACAATGCTGTTCTTTCCATCTGAACTGAACATTAATATTTTGAATTTTCTCGTACAGTAATTGCTACTAGGTTCCATTTCAACTAATTATATCTCAATATTCCCTATCTTAATTAACTAATTTAACAAGTATATTAGATGAAGTGTGATGAACATTAAATTTGAATTGCTTCAAAAGATTAAAAATTTGATTTACCATTACCAATATACATAACTGATCGTCTAGATACATTGAGAACGATGAGAACGAGATATATTCTGAGAATCTGATAATTTTAGGATATTCATACCATATTCATTTCATTTCATTCATACAAATCATAAAACGATTACTTTTTCTTAGAAACTAAAATTTGAATTATTTCATTTTTTTTTTTCTTTTATTAGTTTAAATAATAATTATATAAATTGGGTTTAAATTTTAGGAGTATCGTCGTGAGAAATTGTATCGTCAAAATACTCGAATTAATGCCCAAACTATTGGACAACCATTCACTGGACCTAAAAGGTATCTTATTTTTGTTAATGATATATCAGTGATATGCGACCTTTGTATCCTTTCTTCGTATTCCAATTGATTTTTAATTTAGGAAACTGTTGTTGCAAACTGGTTCACTTAATTTTCGCCCTCCAGGTGGTCGTTCAAAAAGTGCTCCAAGATTATTTGATATCGATGAGGAGAATGAATATCCTGAGGAACAACAGGTTTTTGACTTTGCTCGGGAAAGATGCATTCCTTCTTCACATTTCTGAATTCTGTTACATCCTGAATGAATTCCTGAATAGCCGGATTTTTTCATTTACAAATATTTCTTAATGTTCATTAATGTCCTTTCGGACTAATTTCTTTTCTTTTAATATAATAATTTTTCCTCATTCTTTATTAAATGGATTTTCGAAAATATTTCTGAAAATGAGAAGATGGAATTTTAGGAAGAATACTCGGATGAAGATTCATTATGTTATATAGAATCACCGGTTGGTGCTGATGCCTGTAGTACGAATAGTTTAGAAGAGACAGTGGAAATTCCTTTTTGTCGACAGAATTCTTCCCGCGGTTTATTTTCATTTTACTGAAATCCAAGAAAAAAAAAAAGAGTTAGAAAATTGACGTTGAAAGGATGAATAAAAGCAGTTGTTTAGATTTATGAAGAAACTCAATTTGAATATGTCACAATGCTTAAAACAATAATTTAACTATTTTTTAGACAGTTATGGTGTGAAGCAGAGACAGTACTTAATAAAGAAATTATGTGATAAGAGGAGGATTGGAGAGGAAGAACAACGGAATGGATCAGTGATTAGTGATTTTAGTTCAAGTATAGATTCTGCTCCATCCAGTATTAGCTCAGATGATGGGATTCAATGCACTGATTCAGAAAATCGACCCTTGGAATTGCGGAACGAAGGGAAACGATTAGAACGAGAAACAGATACAATTAGCGAGGAGTCCGGTTATCATGATTTTGATGATGGCTTCAACAGTGTCATTACTGATGGTGGTGACAATGACAACTGTGATCAAGGTAACGATGACGATGACGATGACGATAACGATGACGAGAGTGAATATGATGAGCAAGTTACTGCACTGTAGAATTACTGCACTGAATTATCGCAGCAATTGGTCAATGTTTCGAGATTAAATTGAATTGAAGATTAGCATCATCCATCTTGCTAACTTGTGAATATGTCGGAGAGATGAAACAAGGCGACAGTAAACTCCTCATCCTAATGAATAGCAATGAAGACAATGATTGAAAATTGATGATATCAAATCCATCCTGATAATCATTATTGATAATAGGTATTCACACTGCAATTCTAATGCATTTATCTAGCAAATTTGTCATAGATGGTAACATTCGAGAGTATTAGTGATTAAAAAACAAAAATGTGATGTAGTATTTTCCATACATATTTGTAGAATCGTTATTGAATCAATCCTCTTATTTCATTCTTTTATCCTATTTCATGGTTTTTTGTTAATTAGAAGAGAAAAAAAAAAAATTCATATGCTCATTTTGAAATCATACGAATCATAAATTTCAAATTATCCAAATTATTTTTTAATTTTGAAAAAATCTTGCTAATTCAATTTTAAAACTGTAGCAATTGTTAAATATGCTCATTTAATTTTGAAGCTGTCTCAATCTTCTTAAAATCTTCAGATTCCTAAAATTATTCCTTTCTTTTTTTTTTTTTTGCTAGAAGAAAAGCTAAGAGATAAATTAGGATAGCAGAATAGCAGAATAATAATTATCAAAAAACTGTTTCCAAATGAAATGCTCTTTCGATTATTGCAGAAATATTGTTTTTACACTATTTTTCAGTTCAAAAATGTAAATACTTTAATAGGATTTTTTTTTTTTTTTTTTTGAAAAGAAACAATGCTGCATTGTTGCATTGTATTATTGTTTATTGATAAATTAAATTAACAATGTCATATTGCTTTTGCAGATATAAAAGTTGATGACATTTTGGGAATGTCCAAAATGTTAAATCATTCTCGATCTTAAATCATTCTCGATCATATGGAAGGACTGTCACAGTAAGTAGTCGGTGTTGTGAGTTGTCATCGTAGTTTTAGCAAATTAAATAGAGCTATCATCCTTTGATGAGACGAAACGAATGAGTGGTAATTTGCAGAGGTAAATTTAAATGATTGGATTATAATTTGGTGTACCACAGAAATACCAATGGATTAAAATTCAAGATTTTGATTATAGTTTAGTAAACAATCTTTTTGCACAATACAATTTAATTCAATTTGTGTGTAAGAGAGAAATAAGTATAAATTAATCTTATCACATGCAATTAACATTGATGTCATACAGAAAGTTACAGAATTGTTAATTGCAATGAATAAAAATTATAGGTATTATCATATACAAAAGCACTCGAGAAATAATAACAATCATAATTATCACCAGTGATAATTACTATATTCACCGTTATCACATCAATCATTTTTTTAACTCTCTGCAATGATTCACTACTGTAAATATTATCAGTGATTATCACCAACGTTCAACTAATCCATCCACATGCAAAACACATATTTCGTTAGTATTACTGAAAGTAATGGTTAGTTGAAAGATGGTTTTCATCAATAGAATAAACATACATTTATTTTATCATTAAATTTGATAAAGAACTGAAAATCTCTCGAGATTTTGATAAGAAATTTTAGCTAAAAGATAATTCTTTCTTTCATATAAACTAATTAATTCACTGTAAAAAGTCTAAAGAGAGAGACTTTTAAAGGAGAGAGATTTCTTTTTAAAATATACACAAAAAAAAAAGAAACAAATATAATGTGAATTATTCGTAACAAAGATACAAATATAAAAAAAACAAAAATACATTCAGTTGCACTCACTCGTATGTATATAGCTAATAATGAATGAGTGATTTAGCTTATCATTGAGTTAATCTTACATTCAACTCTTCAAATAAACAATATTAATTAAATTTAAGACAGAAACACATATCATAGTCAAACTGTTAGTTAATTAAGGTAACTACTATTTATGTCTGTCATGTTGCATTCATAATTCATAAGTTGAATTACTGAAAAATGTCAAGTATAAGTTGAATTTTCCGACAGAGTCATTTTTAAAGGTAAATATTGAAGGTAAATTTTAAAGGTAAATATTGAATTCGTTGCAAGGACATATATCCGTTGCATCCATCATCGAAAACTTCTGATTCCAAAAACCGGAAAAAATGCAAATTCTTGAATAGGAAAATGATACCCGCACTGGAATCTAGAAATTTTACTCGTCCTTTTTTTTGAAGATGCAGGCAAAGTCATGACCATCGAAGACTTACTTAATCAATCACCGAAAACACATTAAACGGAATGGCATGAATACAAGCTATCATTAGCTATCAGTAAAATGGCTGGGAAACTTTAAGGAAATTAAATTGTAAATTGTTAAATTAAATTGATTTCAAACTTCATTACTTTGTATTAATTACCTTCGGAAAAAATGTTTTTACTTGGAGTTTTACTTTTTAGTTCGTTTTTTTTTTTTTTAGCTGTTGTGTTAGCACATATGTTCAATCTATGTCAAGCATTTAAAAGTTATGTCGCATGAAAAAAAATAAATAAATAAATACAAATGTGCTTTTCAATAATTCTAATTTACATCTTTCGATAATGATAGCATTCTTTCCATCCCTTAAAAATAATACACTTAAATGATAAGATTTGGAAGTTTAGCAAAAATATTTTCTTTCCAAATAATAAAAAAAAGTAAAGAAAAATGAATTCGTCAATCTGTTTGGAATCATTCATAAATTGGCAGTAAGATTTTTTTAAAAAAAAAAAAAGCAATAATTTTTTTATGAAAAATGCGTGAAATAGATTTTGACAACGATTGAAAGTGGACAGACGACAATAAATGACATAAGAATTGGGATGGTCGTTTAAAAAAAAAGAAGGAAGCAAAAGAGGGAACTGAAATCGCTCGATCGTATCGATGGAATGAATATTAATTCTTGCAAAACCTTTTTTGCATTGCTTTGACACAGGGTGACCTGCTAGATGCGACATATGTATGTGTGTGTGTGTGTGTGTGTGTGTGTGTAGTTAAATTGATCTTTTGAACTGATGTTAAAGTTTTGGGTCTGTAGACACAACTAACAGCATCGAAGCGAACTACTGACAGATTGATGATGGGATTAAATTTCATTTTCCGGAAATAACCATCCATCCGTATTTCAATTTCTTTTTTTCTTTCTCGTTGCATTTATGCTTACTTCACATGTATGGCTTAGCAACAGCTGCTGATGAACGGTTATCATTTAGCTGAAGATACTGGTCGAAATCACGTGGATTCAAATCTTGTGCATTTAATTCCTGAAATTAAAATTTCATCCAATTTCTAATTTATTTATTTATTATGTTCTACTAAGAGAGCAAAAAAAAAACTTTTCATTAGAACATACTGAAATGTCATCCATTTTATCGATGAATAATTCATCAAATGGTATGTATTAGTGATAATAATAACAACAGATTACTCATAAATTCTTATCAAATGCAATTACTCTTAAGCTTCTCTATTCATACGTCAAAAATGCTTATAAAATAAAATGAAATAAAACATTTTTGGATTTAATTTTGAATTTTTATTTGCAAAATTTCGACTTACTCTCACAAGATTGGGATCGATTTCATGAGCACTTTGTAACGGAACCATACTTACGGTACCTACGTTTACGTAATCGATTTCCATCGTATTGTCTACAGCTGAATCATTCGATACATTCCTCTGCAATTGAATGCTTTCAATTTAATTATTATTATTATTATTATTACTTTTTACTTCTTTTCTCCTACACCTTTCTCATATTTTCATCATATGTACATGATATTTTTATACTTAATTAATAGAGTAAGATGAAATGAAAAGTAAATCATAAAACAATTTTTCCTTTTTTCAAATCTTTTTTTCAAGTCATGAAACCTTTCTATGAACAGAGCAGGTGATGAAGATCGACTGTACTGGTAATAGAAATTATTAACATTAGAATGCTATTTCAAGAAATTTTTTTTTTTCTTAAATTATTAATCAGAGTGCTATTTAAATTTTTACTGAGCTTTAAACCTCATTTTCTTCCCAATTTTCGACTGAGATAATTAATGACTATTTTTTCTACATTATTTTTTATCATTATCATTTTTTTTATCATTACATTATCATTTAGTAGAGTTAACTTTATGCAAGGACTGCTATAGCAATTCCAGAAAAGAATTCCGATTTACTTTCGTTTCTTTAAAAAAAAGATAAAAAAAATCATACATTATGAGCATAGTACGGAGTTCTTCCAAGAAAATCATTGCCAACTGTTTGACCGGAAACGTAATACTCGTTGTAACCAGATACCTGGAATTTCTGTATACACTTTTGGTTTTTTAAATTTTCTTTAAAGGAAATGAAAGATTTAATGAATATGAAATGTAGAAATAGTGAAAATGAACCACCTGTTTGTGGCAAAAAAAATTTCTATACTATGACTAATAGCACTGCAAGAAAGATTTCTAAAGTTTAGAATAAGGTAACTATATTGGTAATCAGTGTTCCACCTTTCGCTTAGAAAAAATTTCCAGAAAATTTCATGCTAATAGCTACACCTGTATGAATCAAATTTCTACTCTATCAATTTCATTTTCTTTTTGAACTTTAAAACTATCACTACTCTTCTTCCTACTTTTATTAAGAATATAACTGATGCAATATAAAATAATAAAGTAACGAATTTTGAATCTTTCCGCACCGCAGGGATTTCAGGTTGTTGCTGTACCATAGAAGGTACTGGAACCTGCTGCTGCTGCGGCTGCGGCTGCTGCTGAGCGGTCTGCCATGGTGGCCCAATCCAGCCCTAAAAATTCATGCATGCTTCAGAAATATGTGATTGTCTGCATAGAAATGATAAACAAAAAGGAAACCTCCATAACGAATTCCTCCACACATTTTCTACATTCCGCTTTCAGCTACACTTAACATTTCCGCACATTTTCCTCTTTTGTATTTTTGCGCGGAACGGAACATCACAAAATGTGAAATTGAATTACCTGTCTGTAAAGCTGCTGTTGACGTTCTTGCATACCACGCCGTTCCATCTGTAGTTGTTGTCTTCGAACCGATGAATCATCCTGTGGTAAACGGTCAGCACCAAGACACCAAAAAGAATGTAATGCAAATCCAGAAAGACTTTCTGATCCATGTCCACGTGAAAAGAACTACTCTAAGCCTAATTTTCTCGTAGGTACCTATCACTCCAGATCACTATTATTTTGTTAACTGATCACCCTCTTATCTTCCTTTTTCTTTTAGTAATCCTTTTGCTATGAAAATGAAAATGGCGCAAAATGTTCTAAAGCTGAAAGATCCACCTGTGACACTTCATAAACATTTCTCCTAATTTGACCTGTATTCTGCCTTGTACATCCATGCCTTTGCCATATACGTTCTTCTTGCAATTGTGGTGCTACAATGTGACACTTCAAATGAATGAAATCGGAATGCATTTCGAATTAGCATATTTATTTATGAAAATAATTTAAACCATCTAACATTGGCTGAAATAATCTGCAAATTATCTTCGCAATGATTTCAACGATCATAGTCATAGCACTTCATTGGATAGAATGCTCTCAACATAATACTATCTATCTTAGCAACAACTTTAGTTCGTATAAAGCAAAACGTACGTATTCTGGGGTCATACCAGGTTGTTTCACGACTGTTGTGATCTACAAAGTAAACTTCACCGTTCTGATCATAACGTTTTGCCCATCCATCCGGTAAAGGTCCTAATCCATCATCCAATTCCTGTAGAATGTAATAAATTATAATAGCATAGTTTAATTGTTTAATTCAAAATTTCTTTGCAAACTTTCGTTAATGATTAATCGTATTGTGGTACTAACTCTGCATTAGCTCCTGTATTCCTGAAAAGTTACTTAAATACTTATTATTGGAGTAATTAAGTCTGGTATCCTATTACCTAAGCAATGCATCCGAGAGAGGAGAAAATGACGTACAGTCTGCGACACAGGTGCCGTAGGCTGTAAAATAGATTGCTGCTGTTGTTGTTGTTGTTGTTGTTGTCGTTCCATCATTGGACTCTCGCTGGCAACCAAAGCCATTGGATCCAATGATTGACTTTTGGCCCGTGGCTCACTCCAGTAAGTAACTTCGGTTGTATTACTAAAATGGATGGTAACAGCCATTGCAGACCTTCAGTTCTGTTTATGTGATCGTAGATAAACTCTTATAAACTCCTATTTTACTCAATTTCAGTTTCTATTTCAGTATAGATTAGTTAGTATGTAAAATTGTTATAAAATTTTTATTTTTAAAAAAAAAATTTAAAATTTGTTCAAAAAAAAATTTAAAGAATATTTAGCATTAAGAAATTTTCTGCAAAATACCAGAAGAATATACTTGAAGTCATCATCCAGTTGAAAAAAACTCAAAACTCCAACTTTACTAATCTGTCCCAAATTATTTCTATCAAATATTCTCTCTCCCAATTCATATCATTGTTATCACTGCTCTAATATATGTTAGTATCATTTCCAATATCATTTTTGAATTATTAATTTTTCGAAGTATGTACGACGATTGAAACTGTTTAATTGTTAATGTAAGAGAAATCGGTAAGGTTGAAACGATTTAATTATTAAAAATTACTGTATTTTGAAGTACAATTCTGCTTCAATTTTAGTTTCTTTGTTAAATTATCCAACTTTGTATGAAAAAAAAATTTTTCAAAAATCCCGAAATTAAAAGTAGCTGATAAGTGATTATACTTCTGAAGTAATCCCTACCTGAGTTTTAGAATTCCTACCTCATTTAGGCAAGTTTTAATCACTGAAGTGAGCAATCAAATTAATCAGATATTGCATGCGGATTTGTGGTAACATATTAGTAGAAGAAAATAACACCTGTTATCTAGAGAGATATTCGAAATTAAAATAATACCTGTTATCTAGAGAGATATTCGAAATTAAAATAATACCTGTTATCTAGAGAGATATTCGAAATTAAAATAATACCTGTTATCTAGAGAGATATTCGAAATTAAAATAATACCTGTTATCTAGAGAGATATTCGAAATTAAAATAATACCTGTTATCTAGAGAGATATTCGAAATTAAAATAATACCTGTTATCTAGAGAGATATTCGAAATTAAAATAATACCTGTTATCTAGAGAGATATTCGAAATTAAAATAATACCTGTTATCTAGAGAGATATTCGAAATTAAAATAATACCTGTTATCTAGAGAGATATTCGAAATTAAAATAATACCTGTTATCTAGAGAGATATTCGAAATTAAAATAATACCTGTTATCTAGAGAGATATTCGAAATTAAAATAATACCTGTTATCTAGAGAGATATTCGAAATTAAAATAATACCTGTTATCTAGAGAGATATTCGAAATTAAAATAATACCTGTTATCTAGAGAGATATTCGAAATTAAAATAATACCTGTTATCTAGAGAGATATTCGAAATTAAAATAATACCTGTTATCTAGAGAGATATTCGAAATTAAAATAATACCTGTTATCTAGAGAGATATTCGAAATTAAAATAATACCTGTTATCTAGAGAGATATTCGAAATTAAATCTTCAGTTCATCATATTTACCTCTTTTTAAAACTTAGAAGTGAAATTTCCACTTTTTTATTTTTCATGAAAACTGAAATGGTCGTATAGAAGAAACATACTCGATAAAGTAAGGCTGTCCTTGCGGAGTGTAATTTGGCTCGAAGTGTTTGCTAGGCTCACAATCTAAGTCACAACTTTTGGCAGCTCGATGAGATGCAGCTTGGTACTGCTCACCAACATTAGATACCGCCATGACACTTAACGACTTGGAAGGTGCATGTGTTATACTAGATGCCAAGCGACTGCAAATTAGTGGTGACAAATGTCGGTAAGATTGACTTTCAGACAGTTTTGTATATTTTTGAAATGTTTGAAAAAATTTTTACTTTAGCCATCGCTGTCTTTTCCTTATTAATTAAACTTGCAAGTAATACCTGGAGTGATGCTCAATATTATCTTCGTAATTGATTAGTGCAGGTGCAGAACTTTGTCTGGGATGATAAGGTCCTTGATAAGATGTATTAAGCTGTGTGGATGAGACTGAACTTGGACTTAAAGTTTGTCGACCACTAGAGCCAAGTCCATCATCGCTTGATCCTTCTGTGGAAGAAACATGTGGTTTCAATGATGACACCGGTCGCTGATTAAATGATGCCGGCACACTTGGCTGAAACGATAATCTCTTCCGGACATGCGGTAACATGAGACAGCACTTTGCAAGTAGACAAGGATGAACAACTGCCGCTGCATCTCAATACTGATGGAAGTGATATTCTGTTTACATCAGATAAACTGATGGTGACAGCAAGGACAAAATCAGTTCCGCATCACACTGCGTTAGATGTAATAAAATGGTGTGCTACTATTCATCGATGACTAAAATACCTTCTTCCGTTCAAAGTGCTTTCCGTGTGTGCGCATTCCTTCCGTGAAGAGCTCCTCCAGCGACTTCTGCGGATCATCGACGTGCGTGTTAATTTGCACGTGCGGAGTACTCGTCATCGTTGTTGTTTGTAGTTTCGCTTTCGATGCCATCGCCATTTCCACTCGTTTTTTCGCCGACGCCATTACGGCGACTCTTCGGAAAAATAAAATTCACTGTGAGCAAATTGAATCTGTTTACAACCATAACGGAAGCAAAACGTTTAATTAGTTAATTAACAAACAAACAAACATCCTTGCCTATTTTTAAATTTGTGGTACCTGAACGATACTAAGTTGTTATGAGTTCATTGGACTATTCTGAAATAGTACTGAACATAGCAGGTGGCAGTTGGCATTGTTTAATCAAATATTAACTTTGGAATATAAAAGAAAATTTCCATGGAACATTGACCAGAAGAAAAGATCAAACTTATACAGTGTAATAGCTATGAAATAAAACTTAATTTTAAAGCAAAATTTCATTAGAGTAAAAATTAATTGAAAGAATTAGTGAAATGGATATGGAAACAGAAAAAAAAAAAAAAACGGAAAACTGGATGAGATGTAATTGTGGAAAAGAGAATGGAAATGCAGAAGGAACCGTAATCCATAGCCATCACAGGATTGCAGCAAACGGATGGGATGGAAATCCACAAATGGGCATATGCCCTACCCTAAGCAACAGCGACAAAAGCATCAATTTCATTGGAAGCCTCCCATCCACTACGGTAACAATGGTACATCCCCGTCCTCTGTTACCTTACCTGCACGCAATCCTCACCTCATCTTACCTTACCTTACCTCACCTTACCTTACCTTACCTTATCTCTACCTCATTTCTTGGAAAGGTAGCAATTGGATTATTCATGCATACACACACCAAAACACATCTTATATGATTGTCTTTCGGCGAATCTAATAATTACCATTATAAATTTTTCTGTTTTCATCGCCCAACAAATATCGGCGACATTCCGGAGCCTACTGGACCACACTTTTATCTTCCCATCCCTCTCAATATCACATTATTTTAATTTCTACCTATCTAATTGCTACTTCGATGCTTTCTGACACACACACACACACACACACACACACACACACACACACACACACACACACACACATACACACACACACACACAGACAGACACATACATATATATTTATTTCGTATATACTGGAAATTTCTTAAGGGCAAAATTTGTTGGGGATTTGCTGATAGCATACAGTTAGGAAGGATGGATATTCGGAAGCAATGCTTAAAGTTAAATTGCACTACCACATGCACATGCATTGCTTGCCACATGCACATGCACATGCATATGCAAGCAATGCATCATTTTTCAATCCAATAATTCACTACCAAAAGGGTAAAGCTTTAGCCCAATTTCGGCATCGGGCAAAAATATACTTTTTTTTTTCTCTCAGCAAAACATTGCTTACACATTTGTGAATGTGGTAGCGTTAATGGGAAATGAAGGTTTTAAGCCCAACAAATGCCTCAATTCTGCCCGACAAATACCTCAATTCTGCCCAACGTCAGATTCCAAGCATTCTCAATCTCCAATGCTAATTTTGCTCTATTTGAAACACACATACACACATGAAAATGAGAAAGCATACCTCTTGATTACTTGAAGCTTTTGATATAAAAATTTCCTTTCCTTACCCAAATTTAAAAGAATTTAAAGAACTTCCTGAAGACTTCATGTAATGTAGTATTATTTACTTTTCATATTAACTTTAACTTTTTCATAGTAACATCTACTATAAGCAATGTAAACTATACAACAGGTATAATAGTTAATTCACAGTTTCGATAATTCAATTTTTCTTTTTTTTTTTTCAACCAGAAATATTTCTAATACCGTATCTTGGTACCACCTTCTTCTATAAACTGTTAATATTCTGGTGAAAAGAAGGTACCATTTTATTAGTTATTCTCTCTTAAAATTATATAATTTTATGTTAGATTTGAAATATCACCTCAAGAATTCTGGATTCTTATCAAAATGATTAATTTCCTTTTAATTTATCTCATTTAGTTGTACCAATTATTCAGACATGCATCTAATTAATAAAGAATAACAACAACAACAACAACATTTCTTGTCTTGAAAATACCTTACCCTTCCCCTCTCCTTCTTCTTCTTGCTCTTACCTTACCTGATCCTACCCAGGTATTCATAGCAGAGAGTTAACGACATTTCTTGTCTTGAAAAATACCTTCCCCTTCCCCTTCTTCTTGCTCTTACCTTACCTGATCCTACCCAGGTATTCATAGCAGAAAGTTTTCTTCAATCGGTTCTAACGGAGAATGAATGAATGACCGCCAAAATACCTTCTCACAACTTCCGGACTGACTGCTCCATCGAAAAACAAAACAAAGAAATTCTTCGTTACCTACCCGCTCTCCCTCCCTTCTTCGTTACCCACCCGCTCTCCCACCCTCCTTCCCAGACATAGCAAATGATGCAATAATGGCATTTTGTAGTGATATAAATCGATGCTACGGGAACGTAGACGAAGGGAAAAAAAAGAAAAAAGAAAAGGCCATTGATATTTACAACGTTCAATTTTCGACAATACACAAACGTTACATTCCTTTACAGAGAAATGATGATATGGTATTTTGCTGTAGCACTACAAACTACCTCTCTCTCTCTCTCTCTTTCTCTCTCCCTCTCTCTCTCTCTCTCATCAAATATTTCATTGTTGAGCAAAAAAAAAAAAAGAAAATCTTAAAATGAAAGCTTAAATAATAACTCTCAATTTATTTCATTTATTTTTGAAATTTTTTTCAACTAATGTAAAATTTAAATAAATGATACAGTGAAATATGATTAGAAGTCAGAAAAGGATGCAAATGTTTACACTTCTTTTTAATCATTTTACTTAACTTATTCGATACTAATATATTTTATTTGATCTGTTTGATGGATAGATTTAGTTAAGTACTATGAGATTATACCTGTTATTGATCTAAAAAAAAAAAGAGTTAAGGAAGTAAAGGAGGAAATTCAAGTTATAGTATCCAAGTTGACAGATCTGCAAAAAAAACAAATAAGCGATAGAGAAATGGGAGACTGTTGATGGATGGATGGATGGATGGATGGATGGATTGAAAAGATAAAAATTATTTGATTGCTCGGTTGACGTCACAATGTCCGATGATCATCTCCAATGTCCGTTCTTCAGCACAGAAATGACAACGATGTGATCAGAAATTGCACTTACTTCATCCACTGAAACTGCATTTGTCCACTTTTAGACCGTTCAATGGCTCTTATCTTCTCGAGTAATAGAGAGTTAAAAGTATTACATTAAACAAGGTGAGTGGGTCTGTGAGGAAATGGATGATGATGATGATGATGATGATAACGATACTAATAGAGGTGTGGCATGCTGATGATAACAACTGATAAGGGTAGTGAAATCTTACGATGACACTGATAATCAGGACGATGTTAGCAGCAGCAGTAATGATTTATGGAAGTGGTAGAGACACTGGAGGAGTAAGTAATGAAGAAGAGAAAGCCATCTATTGCTGTGACATCGCCACAAACTGATAGGAGAGTGATAAGGAACTGAATAGCACCAAAGTATTGCTTTCCTATTTCCTGCATATCATCTGTGCATGGGAAGAAGAATGGCAGGTAAGCAGTATGTCAGGTAAATGTCAGGTAAGCAATAGTCTAACATGTATTGATAAGTGATAAAGAATGGTAAAAGATAGTAGCATGGGTTATCACAAACCACCCGAACAATCTGATGCGATTGTTTATTGAAGTGAAATGGCTACCTGACTGGATGGATGGATGGTTGGATGTTTGTTATTTGTCGTTCGGAAAAAAAGCTGGAACTAGAAGTGGAGTGACCGAATGATGGGAAAACCGGAAAATGAATGAGAAGTAGAAAGGGAGGGGAGAGAGAGAGAGTAATGAAAGAATAGAAAGTAAGCAGAATGGATGGATGGATGGTGAGCTTTGCAAGCAGTTAAACGCGTTATCAAATGAATGGTTTCTGTTTTGCAGTTCCGATCAAGTTTAACTGAAAGGTGTGTTGATAGAGAGAGAGAGAGAGAGAGAGAAAGGGGGAGGGAGAGGGAGAGGGAGAGGGAGAGGGGAGCAGAAAATGAAGTAAGAAGAGAGGAAAGTTAAGTTTACTCTTTAATTATTAAAGTGTTACTGGGGAAGCAGACAGAAAGATGAGGTACGTTCTTCGATTAGACCAGGTTCATTCGGGTCAGGTCAGGTCGGGTTGGGTCAGTTCGGGTCGGATCAAAGCCGCTCCGATGAGTAGCAGTAGCGCAGTAGTGACAGCAGCTAAGACACTGAAAGTGAAGACGATTGCCTTCAAGGTGTGTAGTGTCTGTTTGTCTGTCCGTGTCTGTCTGTCTGTCTGTCTGTGTATGTGTGTATGTCTGTGTGTGTATAGTTGCAAGGAATGGTGTGGAAATGGTAAACTTTAAGAAAGAGGAAGGAGTCGGTATGTAATATAAGGTGTTAAAAAAGATAGTGAGAGAATTGAGGTGCACCCACAAGTATGTATATATGTATGTAGGTATGTATGTGTATGTGTGTGTATGTATGTATGTGTATGTGTATGTGTGTGTATGTGTATATACATGTGTGTGTATATGCATGTGTGTATATGTATGTGTGTGTGTATGTGCATATACATGTGTGTATATGTATATGTATGTGTATGTGTGTGTATGTATGTGTATGTGTGTATGTGTGTATATGTATGTGTATGTGTATGTGCATATACATGTGTGTATATGTATATGTATGTGTGTGTATGTGTATGTGTGTGTATGTGTATGTATGTGTGTGTATGTGTATGTATGTGTGTGTATGTGTATGTATGTGTGTGTATGTATGTGTGTATGTGTATATGTATGTGTATGTGTGTATGTGTATGTATGCGTGTGTCATCGCAAGCGGTAAATCGTACTCCACCAGTTAAGCAGACACCGTTAAGTTAGCGGTGTTGGTGGTAGCAGTTTGCTTGAGTAATTTAGCCAACGACCATTTCCTCAACTCCCTCCTTCCTCCCACATATCCATCCATCCGTCCCTTTCTCTAATAGCAACAAGGTACTGGTGACAGCGGTAGTAATGGTAGCACTGGTAGCAG